CAACTTGCCTTAGGTGACCGCTCGAGCAGTGGAAATACTGCTCGAGCAAAGCTAAGGCGCTTCCAGTAGTTTGTTTTCTAGGTCGAAAGACCGCTTGAGCGAAGATAAGGGGTTCCCAATATCTCATTTTGTAGGCAGAGATATTGAGAGGTCTCAAACCGCTCAAGCGGTATGCGCAAGTTTAGAAATTTAAAAGTCACTTTTTAGATCATTTCTTTCACTTTGTTTTTCTCTCTTCCTTCTTCTCTCTCAAATTTTGAAAACCCTAGATTTCCCTCCCTATATATCTCTTATTCCACTAAGATTCAAGCCTAAATCCCTTGCAAGAAGTGGAGTGTATATAAAGATCTTACTTTCTACTAATTGGATTTCGATTCTACAAATGATTCTTCCTAAAGTCTAGTCTTCTTGCACATTTCTTAAGATAGGGTTACTTTGAACTTAGTATCTCTTTATTTTGAAGATAATTATGTGGTATTGTTGTGACCATAATACTTTATTTTGTTGATTGAGCAAAAGTTGAGTTTTTGTTCAACAAAAAGGGATTTTACCAAACTTTTATCAAGATTTCAAATAAATTCTTATGGATTGTGAGTATTGATGTTGAGAACTCCCACATATATGAAGAGGGCATAAAGACCCCAAATTTGTTAAAAATCCTAGTTTTGATTTTGATAAAAAATAATGTTTGGATGGAATTGATTTTCAAATCATGAAAGCTATTAGACATTAGACATAAATAAGTGGATAACTAGATTTTTTAGTACATTATTAATGTATGTTGAACTGGGATTGGTGGATTTGGAAATTGAAAATCCATGTGTTGTATATTTGACTATTTATCTCATGTATTTGTGAATGCTTGGTTACTTGGAAGGTGGTGAAAAGGGGGATGTAAATAGTGTATGGGTCGGGGTAGAGAGTCGATTTTTTAGAACAATGTGTTGTGTCAGTATCCGCGCGGGGAGTTAAGGTGCCCAAATGCCTTGTCTTGAGCTTATCGCCAGATAAATGTGGAAAAATGTTTTTGGGTATCCACTGGTCCTGCTGTATAATAGTCAACAAAAATGGAAAAATGGATAATTTTGGGTGCCCACCACCTGCCGTATTAATAGTCGGTAAATGTAGGAGAATAGTTTTGGTTATAAATCTATATATATATATGCTGTATGGCTATGAGGGACTCATGGCATATTTACCACCCCGTTTTGAGAAAGGTTTTCAATGGAACAAAGATGCATTTGTTTTTTTCCTGCCTTTTTTTTTTATTTGTGAACATAAACTTTAAATAGCATTTGGGTTGTGATAATGCCATGTGAATGTTCAAATAATTAGATACTTTGTTAAATGTATCTCTATTAAGCATATAGCTCATCTGTATCTAACATTTTTGAGAATTAGTGACGTGCCACCACCTCAGTGAGAGGAAGTAAACTCTTTTGTTTTGATTGGAGCATCGAGGCTCATAGTTATTAATGTGGAAGCTCCAAGCTTATTTGCTTAGGACCGTGAGTCTATTTTTGTTGTAACAAGGCAATGCCTTGAATTTTTGTATGCCATTAAGGCCTTCTATTTATACCCTCTAACTTGTTGAACTTTGTCAGGTAGAAGTGTATATAATATGTTGAACACAGAGCTGCAAATAAAAATCTTAGTTCAATGATAAAGAGGACCTTTTGGGGTTAATAGTATTATGATGTTGATGAGATTTTTGGGTTTAACTATGTTTTATTTGATGTTTTGCATTAAATAATTTGGGGGCGTTGCAGAGCATATCCTAACTAGGTTGACAGATGTTCAACTAGTCAATCATGTGCAAGAACCCATGAAAAAAACAATACTAAGAGTTGGCAAGGGTCCAACAAGAAAAAAAACCTAACCAAAGACAAGGGAAGGAAAATGAAGGAAAAGCAAGTATATTTAGCAACAAACATAGGGATGCTTGAACGTCCTGCATTGGATTCCTCTAAATTCTAAGAATATCCTCAATTGAGTTAAGAAAATGCCAAACAAAAAACTTTTGGATGCCCAAGTGGCTTTTTTCGTTATTAAATATAAATGGAATGGGTCAAACCTATTAGGCCGGTCCAACTCATCAAGCCCAATACCTAATTAGCCAAACACCAACATGGGCTAGCCACATCGAGTCCAGATCCTCCTGGACCATCTCCTAAGTCCTCAAGCACTCGGAACAAGTCTAACTTATACAAGGGCCTAAGATGGGCCGAACTATATGGGTCAAACCTATAAACCGAACGAGATGGGAAAAACCCATAAGCAGAACCTTATGGGTCGAGTCCATCAGCAGAATCGACGAGGGTCGAGCTCACCCAAAGTCATCCATATGGGCCTAGCCCATCTCTACAACAACTTCATTGAAGGCCGAACAAGGTTGGGCCAAGGAAACAGGCAGACCAACCAGAGGCCTCTAGTGGCAAGCGTCTAAGCTGTAAGCACGCATGTGCAAATGCCACCTCAGTTGGTCCTCTCTCCAAGAATCAAGAAAACTATTAGGAAAATGAATGTGCAATGATATATATACAGTTCAGGTGGGCATGTATAAGCATGGATGCTCAGCTCAGTGGTTCCCCACCTGAGCTATGGCAGAGAATACCAAAAGGCACTAAAGCTCCATCATCCTCACCTTAGAGAGCAAATCAAGTCATCTACATAAGCAACACACCCATTTCAGTGCAAGGTATGGAATTCCCAGCTATCACACATACAAAGACTCTCTTCCCCTCTCTCTGCACATAGGGAGGGACTACATCATTTTCTCTGACTCCTAACTTTCACGCCGGAGGAATTTTCTGGCCAACCCCGATCAAGCAACTCTCACGGTTCTTTCATTTTTCAGGGTTCTTGATTCTTGAATTGTCCAATGCAATCGTAGAGACCCCGATTCATTTATCTAGTGTGGAAACCAACACACACAACCTCAATTCATAGGCTGATTCTTTTATTCAAATTAGAGGTGTAAACTTAGTTATTAATATGTTTATCTCCCATGCATGAACTTAGATTTTGTTATATATAATTTCTAATTTGTGCTGAAATAAGAAATAAAATAAGGAATGATAGAGGCCTTGTTTGGTTTGTCTCTCGAGAGACAATTTTTGAGAAAAAAATTCAAAAAATTGTTTGATGGAAATTTTTTGAAAACAAAAATTAAAAGCACTTTTCTCTCTCATCTCTCATTTTCTTACATCATACACATCAATTAATCACATTTTTTCTTACACTCATCTATTCAACTATAAAAAATTAAAAAAATAAATTAAAAAAAAACAAAAGTAAAAATAAAAACTAAATCATCCAAAAATCTAAAATTCCAAAACTATTTTTAAAACATACAACGAAACAAATTTTTTAATTTTATAAACTCTTTCAAAAAAATTATTTTTCAAAATAATTTCACAAATACAGACCAAACATAACCATAATGTTACGGGCACTTCTATCTTGAATTCAAAATAAAAGGGTAAGTTACACTAACCTTCCTTGAGGTTTTTGAAATGACAAAAATCTGTTTGAAGATTTAGTTTTAAATTACACTGGCGTCTCCTAAGATCTAATAAAATTGTAAAAAATTGACACAAATCTCCTTGAGGGTTAGTTTTAAATTACATTGACCTCACTTGAAATTTAATAAAACTACAGGAACCTCCCATGCGGTTTCTAAAATGATACAAACACCCTTTGAGGTCTAATTTTTTATTACAAATTCCTTCTTTCTATTGCTTTATCTTTATACGAAGTAGCAAAAATTGTTCATATTATCAAATAATTTAATTACATTTTCAATTTACTTTTTAAAATTATTTCCAATTACAAAGAATTTAAAAAAAAAAATACAATTCATATTTTCTTTCTTGATTATACTTGTAGTTACGGTTTGATTGTGTGTGTCTTTTCATCAAAACACTAATGCTGCTAAGAATATTATGAATCGTCTTTAAGAGATCCCGCAGAATCGATCCCCACAATTGCTATTTTATTTCTACATCCGTATTCTTTACCCCAAGATTGTGATAGTATATTGTGCGTGCAGGATCTCTGAAAATTAACTTACAGCATACTTGGAAACATGTGGATTCTTGATAAAGGGCATACATACAATCAACAAACAAAGGAATAAAATAGGAATTGCATTGTTTTTATTTTATTTTATTGTAATTGCACACAATTTTAAGGGTAAAATTAAAATGTAATTAAATTATATGATGATATCAACTATTTCTATTATTTATTTATTTGTTTATGATAAATTAACAAAGGGGGAATCTATAAGAAAAGCTAAACATAAAGGGCGATTTCTGTCATTTCAATAATCTCAAGGGAGATTTTTGCAATAACATGTGGATTCTTGATAAAGGGCATACATACAATCAATAAACACAGGAATAAAATAGGAATTGTATTGTTTTTATTTTATTTTATTTTATTTTATTGTAATTGCACACAATTTTAAGGGTAAAATTAAAATGTAATTAAATTATATGATGATATCAACTATTTCTATTATTTATTTATTTGTTTATGATAAATTAACAAAGGGGGAATCTATAAGAAAAGCTAAACATAAAGGGCGATTTCTGTCATTTCAATAATCTCAAGGGAGATTTTTGCAATTTTACTAAATCTCAAGAAATATCAATATTATTTAAAACTATACCTCAAAGGAGATTTTTGTCATTTTAAAAATCTTAGACAAGACAATTTCATTAAACCTGAAGAGAATTGAATGTAATTTATCCATAAATAAAGAAAAGTGAAAGATAGTAGAACTTCAATTATCTGTACTAAGAGTGTTTTAGAAAGATGGTTTAAAGCTGTTTTTAACTTTTTTTTTAACTTTTTTGTGAGATAGAGAAATGGGTTAAAAAATTAGGAAGTGACTTTTAACCCACTTCTCAAAATAGCCCTTCCTACCATGTGTGAAACAGAAATATTCAACCTAAAGAGTTTTGAAAATGATATAGAGAGAATGGTAAACATACCTCTAGAATGTCGCCTACATTAACAACAAATGCATCTGGAAGGAAATTCACAGGAATCCAAATCCCATCTTTTCTAATTTGGAAGCCTTCAACTCCATTGACTTGTAGAAGGATGGTGATGCCGGTAGCATCGGAGTGAGGCGTAAGGCCCATCACCATTTCAGGTTGGGGACATGGAGGATAGTATGTCATCCTCACTGATTGCGTTCCATCATTAAACATCTCCTCTATCTCTCCCTTGTCAATCTTTAGAGCTTTTTCCATCAATCCAAAAAGTGTCATTGCAAGTTTTTGCAACTCTGATATGTAAGACTCCAAGGTTTCCCTGCCGTCTTCTGCTTGAAAAAAAAAAGAAAAAAAAATTATGCAATCCTTAAGCCCTTTCTGGTTTAAAAAAAAAAAAAAAAAAAAAAGAGTAACAAACATAAAATATTTTTTCACTATTTAAGCCAAAAACATTTTTGCTTTTTGATGTCCTGACAAAAGTTTTTTTTTTTTTTTCCTAAACTTTTTGTTTTCAATTAATTTTTTATTTTTCAAGTTTTTCTAGTCTGCAAAGATCTAAAAAGATATTTTTTTTAAAAAAAAACACTAAAGATTAAAATAAAATAACAAATCAATTTTCACCTAAACTTTTCTAAAATCAAAATCAACCTATTATTATTTGTCAAATCAACTTTGTTAGGGATAGCATTAACATAAAAAAGTAAAAGAATGAAATAAAAAAAATAAAAAAATAATAAAAAAAAAAAGAAAAAAAACACTAAAATTCTATTTTCCAAACCAACCCTTCAATACATAATTTTTTTTTTAATAATAATTATTATTTTGATAAACAAAAAAAGACATTATATTAATGTAATAAACAAGATACCGAACATTACATAAAAAGCTTTTAATAATAATTATTATTTTGATAAACAAAAAAAGACATTATATTAATGTAATAAACAAGATACCGAACATTACATAAAAAGCATAACCACGGTAGAAAGACTACATAGGTAATGAAACATTTCAACTGGATTGGGATACACCACAAATGTTATGTATCTAGGGAAAAGACTTGAAAAAATATTTAGAATTTGAATAGTATATGGTATAGACGGAGATATTTTCTGATGTAAGGTTACATCTAAGATTAATCTAATCAATATATCAAATTCTAAACACTCACCTAATTTTTTTATTTTGTAGCATTATTTTAACTTCACTGGTAGGCAAGGGCGGAAGTAGCATAGGGTTAGGGGGTCACATGCCCCCTCAGTTTTGAATTTTTATTTTTATTTTTGTTAATATGTTCTTTGGTTAAAGATTTATTATATTGCTCACAACAAGTAATTATTTGATACTTTGGGAACACTATGTGGTATTATTTATGTAGTAGTTTAAATCAATAGTGTAACGAAAAATATTATAGATTGAATATAATGAACTCATTATTTTCAAGTAGTTGACATATCACTTAGTATGATTTGTGATTAGTGATTTTCTATGCTTTGAGCATCACGTAGGTAACGCTATATGATACTCTAAGGCTATTTAATAATTTTCATTCAAAACACATCATTTATAAGCAATGTCATCTCTTTAATATTTTTCTGTTAAATAAAAATTAAATAGACTTTATAATAATTTGTGCTATAAATAATGTGTCTTTATTTTTAAAATTAAGAATTTTGATCCATAATTCTTTGTGCTAAAATTACATACTTATATCATCATCCCATACCGAGCTGTTCCAGACAATTATAAAATTTTGATTTGTTCTTATTAATAATAAATATGTAATTTTTTATGTTTCAATTTATCTCATAAAATTATTATTATCTTAATGTTTCTCATGAATTTTTTTAAATAAAAAATTATAATTAATAAGTGTCCCTTCTAACTTAATTTTTTGATTCCGCCAATGCTGGTAGGAACATGTTCTTGTGTGAAAGTACATACATAGATTCATACAACATGAGAGAGAGAGAGAGAGAGAGAGAGAGAGAGAGAGAGAGAGAGAGAGAGAGAGGACCTAAGTGAAGAAGGGAGCTCTGGAAGTAGGTGGGCCTTCCTTCTATGGACAGGGTTGACGAACATAAAAAACCTATCTGCCCAATCAACTTTTTGATCTTCTTCCATTGATTTGGTTTGTCCATACCCTTCAACATCACCTGGCTGTATCTTGAATCTCATTTTCTCTTCAGAAGGAAGCTTGTAGAATTCTTCAATTTCATATTTCAGTTTCTCCACTAGTAAAGAGCTAACTCCATGGTTTACCAACTGCAAGCATCAGGACTAGTATTAGTATGTATTTTCATTTTCTACAGATGGTCGCCCACATACATCTTACTATGATAATTCTATACAAGGCTGTTTGGAAAAACCATATCAATCTATTAATATTCAAAAAAATTGTTTTCTTCTTGTTTTATGCTGTGACTTGTTCCTTTTCTGGAATCAAGATTAATTATGGGAAAATTTCATGGTTTATGTACAGGCCCTATAAACAATTGGTGTAATCATTTTATGCTAAATGGACAGAATCCCTACACTTTACTACGAGTTCAAGGGTTTGAATCTTGCCATCCGTCATTCAGATCAGAGTCGTAAAAATAAAATTAAACAAAAAATGAAGATATATGGTAGATCAAAACCTGAAAGATACCCCATTCTTTGCATGCGGAGTGCAACTTCTCTAGTTTAAAATCTGTTGCTTCATCCATAAGTAATTGTTGCATGTCAACGATAGGAATCATTTGGAGAGAAGTGGCATCTTCTGAGAGAATTGATGAAGGTTCATTATCTAAACGAACATAGCGCTCTGGGATGCCAAGCATGGGCTGTTTGGCAAGCTCTTGAATGCTCACTGACCTCCCTAACCCCTTTGGTTTTGATGATGCCATTGCTTTCAAGTGTTACAATTGCAAACACCTAAGATAAGTATTTATACTGAAAAAAATACAAGTCAGTACACAAGACTTCTATTAAAGTAGAGTTTGAGATTGTAAAATGTATACAGTTTTATTTCTATTTTTGGTGAGTATGTTTTTGTGACTTCAACCCAATATAAATAAGATAAATGCATATTGTATTCAAGAATGGATCTATTCCAGGGTGGCAAGCAAGGACAATTTCAACAAAATTTCTTATTATACTAGTATTTACTATGAATTATCTCTAAAATATATAACCTCCCCTCCACGTTTTCAAAAAAAGTTTTGGTAGTTTGTCCTTCTATATATATATATATATATATTAATGTATATTGAGGTACAAAATCTATTTTACCTCCATATGATATGACTTAATAGTACTTTACTCCTGTCTTTTAAAAATAACTATGTCTTCTATGTAGTTTTGGACTAAAATACAACTATTAACACCGTTAACTATATATGTAAAATGACTATAATACCTTCAAACTCTATATTTTTTTTTTCTCATCTCTTATACACATAATTTATAATGTCTAGTACTAATTCAATTAAATCACAATTAATTATAAATTTTTAATTATTTATTGTAATTCTTAAATTTTTATTCTAATTTTAGTTTAGTTGTATTTTAGATCACAATTAATCCTAAATATTGAACTATTTATTGTAATTACTAACTTTTTAATCTAATTTTTATTAATTTATATTTTATATTACAATTAATTCAAAATTATTAATTATTTACTATAATTTCTAACTTGTTAATCTAATTTTAATTTAATTACATTTTAGATCAATTCTTATTTATTGTTTATTTTATATTTTAAATCAATTCTTAATTATATTTTATATTTTAGATCAATTTTTAATTTAATTTAATTTTAATCAACATATTAATCTAATTTTAGATTTGGAGATAATGAGGGTAAAATTGTCCTTTTGTTGTATTAATTTCATTATAATCTTTTAGAAAACAAAAACCACTCTAAAAAATGGTGTGTAATATATCGTCCCTTAGTTTAGATGGAAAAACTAATAGTAGCACTTTAAACCAGCCCCTTGTGGGGGTTTTCTGCCTATATTGTAACGATAGGGGATAAAGTGTTCTAGCCCCAAATCCACAAGGGATCAACTACTAATAAATCATAATAGTTGAACTTAATTCTTATTAAGCCCTATTAAAACTAAGTCATAAATTTCTAAAAAGATCGTCACTAAAAAAATTTTTTGTAACGATTTTTTATATGTCGCTAAAAATTAGCAATTAGTGACTTTTTTGTCACGATTTTTATAAATTATCGCTAAAACTTATAATTAATAACGTTTTTCTGTAACAAATTTTTAAAATATTGCTGAAAGTTGAAAACTAAGTTTTAATAATATCAAAAGTATATTTTAATTAATAATTTAAGTAATTTTTTTATTATAATAGAAGAATAGTTCGAAATTTTATTTGTTTTATTAATTTTACTAAATAAAAAATTATGAGAAAATGATATTTATAATTTTCAAATTTATAAGAAACAATTCATATTTAAGTTAGTGTATTTGTGTTTTACCGTTTTGATTTTTATTTGAAGAGTTTTGCAACCATTGTCAAAAGTAGAAAAGCAAAGGTTATTAGGGGTTATCTTACTCTTTTTATTTTATTTTTATTGCTTCGCTACGTTTTGTAATTTTTACATTCAGTTTATAGGTTTTTGGAGTTCTGGAATTTTAGGTAAATTATTGGGGGTGTTGTTGTGCCAGCAGCTTGCTGTGACTTGTAATGGGAGTTGATGTCGGACTTTTTTTAACAATCTAAACCGTTTATGTTGTAGAATTCATCGAGTATATTGTCCGTGAAAAAAATTAAATTAATTGAACATTCGTAACTGCATGATCAGGTCCTAAATAATCTTTAAAAAGTTATCAAAATGATGATAACCGTTAATTTAAAATAAATAAAAATAAATGTAATGTTGTTATGAAAAGGCAAGGGGCGCAAACCATCATAGCAAAAGTAAATTATGCCAACTAGATTGTCATCGGAAAAATAAAATAAAAAAAAAAAGAAAAAAAAAAAAGCACAATCATTGAGTTGAGTTATTGCCGACAATGTTATTTCCACATGAAAATTGCACTATAATAAACAACACTTTCAAGCGAAGTCCGAACAAATAGTATATTATTATATTGGATCACTCATCTTGGGTGCATGTGCTAATCTAATCAGGATAACCTCTCTAAGCATTAATGTTGTTTTTCACCTATTTTTCCCTTCATTGATGTTTTTGTGTGTGTACTTGTAGTTAATTTTTGCATTTGTACCATCATGTTGTGTTTGTATGTGATCAAGCTAAGTATTAGGGGTGAGTATGGTCCGAATTGGATTGGATTGGATTGGGGTAAAACTAGGACTAACCCGTTATCTACGGTTCCTAAAAAAATTGGAACCAATCCAATCCGTTTAAATCATGAAACCAATCCGAACCAATCTATTTAAATACGGATTAGATCGATTTAGGACCACAAATTCACATAATTAAACAACAAAAATATATATATATATAATACTTTAATTTCATAAAAATATAAACATAGCATTATATTAGTTCCACAATAGCAACATGTTTTTCTATAATAGCGACATACTGTTTTAGAATTTAAACAACTATAAAAAAACTGATTTCACCATAAGTATTTATATCATTACAAATTAAAACTAAAAACTAACAAACAAAAATAATAAAAGAAAATATTATACGGTTTTAGATTTGAGTTTAGATTTTATATATAATAAGAGAAGATATTATGGGGGATGATGTACAATAAAAATATAAACTATTTGCATATGGTCCGGATCGGTTCCAATCCGGAACCGTGGGGTTCAATCCGGAACCAATCCGTGAACTACAAATTTTTAATTCTTCAATCCGGAACCGAACCGTGGATTCAAAAAGCCAATTTAAACCTATCGAATTTGACTGGATTTGATCAGATTATGAATTTTACGAATTCTTTACTCAGCCCTACTAAATACTCCAAATATTTCAACTTTGTCAATGTGAAGTTAATATGCATCAAATAAAGGAAACCTATATGTATTTCTGTCTCTTTTATGTTTCATAATTCATAGCAATTCCAAGTCTTATTTGGGAATTAAATATTTTAGTGAAAAAATTAATACAAATTATTATGTCACATTTTTTACTTTTTTACATATATTTTGATAAAAAGTTAAAAAATAATTAAAATAACGTGCTCTCCAACGAAACCTAAATAATAAAGAGTTGATAAAGTGCTTTTCATTTATAATGATGCACTGATTTTGAAGCAACAATATCAAACTTTGGGTCGTACTTAAGAAGAGTCGGTTACATGCTTTTTATTTTTAATTTGCTTTCATCATTCTTCTTTATTTAGGGTTTATAAGTTACAATCAAAATAAATTAAACAAATTTATCTTATTTTTTAACTATTGCATCCTAAATTAGTTCAGATCTTCTCCACCCCTAATTAACAAATATTGTATATCACCACCCAACATACAAAAGAACAAAAACACCTATGACATAATAAAAGAAAATACCAGAACTATGAGTTTCAGCAACTTATAAAATTAAGATGGAGTAGTTGTCATGTATGTGGCTAAAACAAGTATATATATTTTAAACTATTAGTTAAGAGTTGAAAAAGAAACCAAAAGGAAAGCTGTGGATGACCACACAAAAATAAATAAATAACTAATAATAATAAATAAAATAAAATAAATTTTAAATATTAGTTTGATATCACGTCATTATCAACATGTAGTATTATTAATTAATAACAAATTGTTATATAAATAACCCAAATAATGGAACCTAAGCAAGGAGAGCATGGAGGGTGGATTCCTGTGGTGAAGCAGAGGCAAAGCAGAGGAGTATGGGGCAAAAATCCAACGAAAGGCTGGTTCACTGTGTTTGTGGATAATCTACCACACTCATTGGAACCTAAAGGTCTGTTCAAACTTTTCACTAAGTTTGGAATAGTTAAGGATGTGTTTATCCCACAAAAGAGAAGGAAAGCAACAAACACCAGGTTTGGATTCGTGAGATTCAGCTGCTCAGTTGCAGCAAGCATAGCAGTTCAGAAAGTAAATGGACTGTGGGTGGAGGATAAGGCACTTGAAGTCAAATATGCAGAGTATGACAGAGAACAAAACAAGAAAACATCCCATTTCAATCCCACCAGTAGAGATCCTTTAGATAAAGTAAGAGTTGGAGTAGCTCACATCCAATGTAATGAAGGAGAGCCCATCAGTAAATCCTTTGTTGAAGCACTTAAAACAGGTACAGGTACAGGTACATCACAAGGTAAGCTTTGCAATACCATTAAAGCGAATGAAGACGACCATGGGTGGCCATATGAAAGTTTACTCGCAAGACTAAAAAATGAGTACACTTTATCCAGCATTAAGCAAGTACTAAGAGATAAAGGGTTGGGCCACACTATTGTTAGAAAAGGAGGAGGGAGGGATGTTATTTTAACATTTCAGTCCAAAGAGGAGATGAAAACAAATTTTAGCTCAGTAAATGAATGGCTGAAGGAGTGGTGTGAATTTGTTACGGAATGGAAGCCAAACATGCACTTCGATCAGGAGAGATGCTTATGGTTGAGGTGCTATGGTGTCCCATTAAATCTGTGGAACAGAGATACATTCAGCAAATTAGGAGGCATTTGGAGAAAGATCCTCCATATTGATGGAGATATCAGTCATCCAATATCATTCTGCTATGGCAGAGTTAGGATTGCAACTAAATGTATGGAATGGATCAATAAAGCAATCAATCTGGAGTGCAAGGGCAGAGTTGCTTCAATCTTGGTCTGTGAAGAACAATTTACTGATGTGAGTGATCACAATTTATCCGTTGATGTAGAGGAAATTTGTAGCTCCAATAAGGTTGTCAGAGAAGAACATGAAGGACTTGTAAGGCTCGAGAAAGAAGAAGGTGCAATGGCAAAGAGAGCGGAAATGGCTGAAGTTGAGCTGGCATCTTCTGATGATGTGGCTCTTGATCAGAGGTCTGAACATATTTGTGGCAATGATGAGTTGGACAAGGTAGATGGAAATTCAAAAAAAGAACATCATTGTGGTAGAGATGTGGTGGATACAGTAGTCAAAGAGACCAAAGAAGGTATGGGGAGCAACTTTGAGGTTGATGCACGAATGGCCAATCCAATAAAAGAAAAGGCTACTGAAGTCAGGCATGTTGATTCTTATGACAATCAGAGGTTAGTTGGCCATCTATACACTCCTGGTTTTATTAGAAGCCTCAGTACATATGTTGGGCTTCAGCCTGGCATAAATTTAGAGATTGATTTAGGCAATATTATCCATCATCATGGCCCAACTGATACAAATCTCAATAAGATTGTTCCTATTAGCTCTACCAGGGATGGTTCAGTTGTTGAGCCCATAAAAGGCAAGTTAAAGACAGATACATCCCATGTTAAAATGGACCAACTTGCGACCAATAAGCTCAAAACTAAACCCAAATTGAAAGGGAATAGGAAAGGTAAGTCTAAAATCCTCTTTCAGTCTGAAATCATCTCTAACTATGTCAGACTTCATGGGCATAAAGGAGCCTCCTCGAGTAGGCTTCCTCTAAAAAAGGCTATCTTCAGAGCAGCTGTTACAACTATGACACTTTCAACTTCATCTGAGAATGGTGATAAAAGGGGAAGATATGTTCTAAACGAAGCTCAAGCTACAATACAGATGGGGAAAATACTTGGGCTCACTTTCAATGGCAAGAAATCCGATTCAATAAACAAAATTGTTGAACTAGAGCTCAAAGACAAGGAAAGAAATGGGGAAGGGGAACAAGGAAGACAGTAAATAGGTCCAACCAAAGTGAATTTTGGTGTTCAATTTGTTATCTATGAAGCTACTGTCATGGAATATTAGAGGCTTGGGAAAAGCAGTGAAAAAATGAAAGGTGAGGAAACTAGTTAGGGAGAGGCAAGTAGAAATTGCATTTTTTCAAGAAACAAAAAAAACTTCAATCTCAGAGAATGAAGTCAGAGCCCTATGGTCAAGGAGAAGCATGGAGTATATGTCAGTTGATTCAGAAGGATCTGCTAGAGGCCTGCTGTGCATTTGGGACCCAGAGATCTTCAAGCTTAATGGCTACTGCAGCAATAGGAGATTCATTCTCTTCTCAGGTACATTTCTAAATTCGTTTGACTATGTTTTGCTAAATGTATATGCTCCCAATGATGCCAGCATCAGGAACATATTATGGGAAATTCTTGTTAAGCTAAAGAGTATTTTTCCTAATCCATGGTGTATGGGAGGTGATTTCAATGAGATAAGAAATAATGGGGAAAGGATTGGCTTCTCTAGAAGGGACAAAGGGATGAAAGAATTTAATGAATTCATAAATAAATGTGAGTTAACTGACTTACCAATGCTTGGAAGGAAATACACATGGTGTAATGCACAAGAAAATGAGAAGTGGAGTAGGATTGATAGAATTATGCTCAGCCCTGAATGGTTAATCTCTTTCAAACTGAAGTTATGGGGCTTACCTAGATTGTTATCTGATCACTGCCCTCTCCTGATAAGGAAGGATGAGAGGGATTGGGGCCCAAAGCCATTCAAGTTTATCAATGCTTGGACTCTTCACCCCAATTTTCCCTCTTTTGTGGAAAACACATGGAAGGAAACTACAGTCAGAGGTGGTCCTGGGCAAGCTCTTTTGCAGAAGCTAAAGCTGCTGAAGCTAGCTCTCAAGAAGTGGAATAGTGAAGTTTTTGGTAACATCTCAACAAATCTAAAAGCTGCTGAGGTAGAATCACATGATCTAGACATATCAGTTGAAGAAAGGCCATTGCTTGCATCAGAAAGAGATAGAAGAAGGGTGTTGCAAAATGAAATCTGGAAGCTAAGCAAAATGATGAAATGGATGTGGCAGCAGAAATCTAGAGTTAATTGGACTCTAAATGGGGACAAAAACACTAGATTTTTTCATGTAATGGCCAGCTGTAAGCAAAACAGAAATATCATCAATATTATCTCTGTAAATGGAGTAATCCATAAAGAACCTGATACAATCAAGCAGGAGGCTCTGCTACACTTCAAGAAGCAGTTCACAGAAGATTGGGCCAATAGGCCATCCTTGGGTGGAGTGTTCAAATTAGTGCAAGTGAACCATCATTTCCAAGAGCTAGAAATAGAATTCTCTGAAGCTGAAATTAAGGCAGCTATAAAGGAGTGCAATGGCAATAAAGCTCCAGGTCCAGATGGCTTCAACTTGCTTTAGTTCCAGAAATATTAGAAGGTTATGAAAAAGGAGATTCTCATGTTTATGAAATATTTTCACACTCATTGCAAACTTGCATATGGGATTAATAGCTCCTTCATCACTCTTATCCCCAAAAATGAAAATCCTGTGGGATTGGGCGACTACAGACCTATCAGTTTGGTGGGCTCCATTTATAAGATCCTTTCAAAAGTCCTAGCACATAGGCTGAAAAAAGTTATTCCCGAAGTTATTGGTGTCACTCAGTCTGCTTTTCTTGGAGATAGGAATATTTTGGATGGTGTACTCTTTGACAATGAAGTTGTGGATGGCTGGAAAAAATCCAAGAAGAAAGGCATCATCATCAAACTTGATTTCGAAAAAGCATTTGATTTAGTCAATTGGAACTTCCTTTTTTCCTTATTGTAGACACCCCATTTTTGACCGGCCTTAAGACTCAGACGTCACTAGTTGAGCACTCGGTGATGCTGCAGGTTGTGCTCGTTCTGAAGTTGCGGAGTCTCGGCTGCGAGCCTTGCTTCCGGACTTCGGAGCTCTTTTGTGCCTTGCCTCAGTTTGCGAACCGGGTCCTATTTTCTCTGTTTTCTCTTCCCGAAGGGGGGGGAGAGGTCTTGTAGACCATCTCTCAGTGGCCGTAGGCTACGTTTCGTGGTCGTAGGCCATTTTTTCCATTTGGAGCCCATTTTCCGATTTTTCGGAGCCGTCGGCCGTGTGCCTCGGTTCGGGACTGCTTAACTACCTCCGTTTGCTCCGGTTTTTGGTACACACCTTATCTCCTCCCTTTAGAGGGACATTGTGGCCCGGGAGACCACCTTCGTGGTCATACGCCACTTCCGGTGCCTAACAGCCTGTTTTCGGGGTCCCGAACCGCGCATTTTGGCCCCCAAACCTTCGTTTTGCATCCGTTTTGGTCCTTTTTTGGTGGAGACCCTATTTTCACTGTTAGGGAGGTGGTAGGATGGTGGCCAGCCACCTCTTCCCCTGAAAAACCAATTTTCTCATTTTCTCTCTCTAAAAGCCTATTTTTCTGATAGAAAGCTGGTTTTTCCCACTTTTGATCCACATTTTCTGATTTTTTGCACCATCATTGTGTTGTGCTCATCTAGGAGGCCACCAATATGGGTAGGCCAACCAGTAATTCTTCTTGACCCTTTTGAACCCCTCTAAAAAGCTGGTTTTTCTCTTTCGTGAGTCACATTTTCTGGTTTTTCTCCACAGGGCTGTGTTCTACTCATCTGGGAGGCCACCTCTCTGGGTAGGCCGACCAGCAATTGTTCTTGAACCTTTTGACCCCTGGTCGGCTGACCAGGGGGAGTGGCCAGCCGGCCACTTGAACTGGCCGGCCTGCTTATTGCTTTTGCCCTTTCTAAGTGTAATCCAGCTGTGCCAGCTGGGGACCATTTGGTGCATCCTCCATATGGAGGATCTTTGAAGCTTCCAAGAGAAGCTTTGGCCTCTTTTCTCTATAAGAGAGGCCCTCCTCTTCATATCTAAGGGTTAGACATTTTTGCTTAAGGCTCATAACCTCCCTTCTCCATTGTCACTATTCCAAGCTCCAAAACCCTAATTTTCTTGGTCCATTTGCACTACAACCCTTAGCACCACACCACCATCATCCATTCTAGTACCTTGGAAGTCATTTGCAGAGGTTGAAAGCTCACCAACTTGGTCCAAAAGCTGCTGGAGGTCGGCTCTTCAAGGGTAAGTATCCATTTCCCTTAAACTTGCATTTTTTTGCTTCATTACTTAGATTCATTTACAAGTATTTATGGGTTTTTTTCATAAACTATAAAGTGTCATATTTTGAGGTCCTCTTCAACTTTGTTTAAGGGCATTTTACTGTTTGAGGTCATCTACTTCCCCTTACCCTCTATCTCTCTTTTAGGGCTATTTTTGCATCATACTTTAGCCTTACTTGTGAACATTTTCGAGATTTGTCATAAACTGAAAAAAGCCTTTTTTTGACCTCCTCTTTAAGTTTTATTGAGGTCACTTTTCTATTTGGAGTCATCTCCTTCCTTGCATGCTTCATTCCTTCATATTTAGGGCTATGCATTAGAGCATTTGCATTGGACTTGTTTTGGCCTCTTAGCCACTAAAATCCAGGGGATTTTCAATGGTTTTAATGAGGTTTTAAGCTTTGAAATCATAGAGGGGTGACCCTCTCACCCCTCATTTTCTTTACTAGCATCATTGGCTTTCCAAAGGGGCTCTATTTTGCATGCATCGAAGTCTCATTTCAGGCCTCATTTTGTGAGTTTTGGGGTCTACCTTAGGTCTGTCTGAGGCTCTTTTGATCATATTTTATGTCTATAGTGCATGTGTAGAACAATTCCATTCAAGGCCTTTTGAGGGGGCCTTTCATCGTATGCTTCCTTGACTGATTTCAGGGCCAATTTTGTGAGTTTTAGGGCTTTCATAACTCATTTCCAGAGTTGGTTTGGTCATGCTAAGTGTCTATCTTGTATGTGCTTAACAACCCCTTGATTGGCCTCCCAAAGAAGCCCCTCATTTTTGCATGCATTGGCTGCATTTTAGTGATTATTTGGACATATTTTGGCATGTTTTATTCACTGTTTTCGGCTGGTTTGATGAGTTCTCATTTGCTTCATATACATGCCATGTAAACCATGCTTGCTAGCCAATGTTGCATGCTATTTTAGTCCATCATGTTAGCATCTTTTGGCCATGCTTTAAACTGGAAATGTGCATCTTTTGGGACTGCCTTAGTTCTGTTTTTAGACTTCATGATCAAATAATGCTTGCTTTGTATACTTGTGGTTCAATGCATTGGACTAGTTTTAAGTTTCGGGGCTTGTTCCATGCATCGGGTGTCATATTTCCATGTTTCAGGACTATTTACCATCATGTTTCAGTGCTGAAATTTGCATGTTTGAATGCCATGCTTCATCCTTGCCATGCTTTGGTAGAGTGGTATTTTATGCCTTAAGTCCGGTCCTCGGTATGCGTGCATGTGTGCACGCATTTCGGTTGTCTCATTTTCATCTTATGGCTACTGATGTGAGTGTGGCTGAGGTCCACTCATATTGGTGTAAGTCCATTATGCATTGTGTATGCCATTTCATAGCATTGCGTATGCTAGGTTGTATGTTAGAGCATTGTGTATGTTATGTTGCGTCGTGCATTGTGTATGCCATTTCATAGCATTGCATATGCTAGGTTGTATGTTAGTCGCATTGTGTATGCCATCTCATTTGCATTGTGTTTGGGATAGGAGTTAGCCCAAGCACGGGAAACGAGGGACGTTTCGTACTCCGAGTGACGGAACGTGTCTCAATTCCCCGGTCGCCGACACTCCGGATTACCCATGATGGAGTTTAGGTCTTGTTGTGTTTTCATGTGCATGCATTTCACATCGAGTCGTGCAATTTGACTCCTCGGCCATCATCCATCGATATGCGTGATTGGTGGCACGAGGATCGAGGACTACACTCCCTGAAGAGTAGTCATGCATACATGTGTGAAATACTTTGCCATACCCCTTTGTTGCTCTCTGTTGCAGTAAATCAGAAATCAGCGGCCTTCCGGAGCGTTGCGCAATATTCCGAAAATAATTGTAAATAGAAGCGAATCGGGGCATCGCAATGGATTTCCGCGCCAGGCAATTCAAGCATGCATCATTCCACCATTCGGAACAGAGCTGAGGCAGTCCATAGGCTTACATGCTAGTTTATCACTTTCCTAGTTAATTTGTTAATTAATTAGGGTTTTGTAATATTTAATTATTCATTCCGGACTGTAATTATTTATTCGGACTGCATTATTCTTTCGGACCCTCCGAGTGAGGGCACAACTATAATAAGTGTGCGTGCGTGTGATGTATGTCTTCCAACCCCACATATTTCTCCCTTTTATTTACCTGTTTATGATGGTTAGATTAGGGCATATTTCAGTTAGCATACAGTATGACAGCATGTTTGCATCATTCATCTGTATTGCATGCACCGGGCTCGGCGCACCATACTAACTACATTTGTATTTCAATTCCAAATTGAATACGTGTTAGCTGTAGCATCATCATATGCCACGTTTAGAATAGCCGAGCCTATCTTAGTTGCATTTTGCATGTGTTGCATTAGGCATTTCTGCATAGTTAGGATCATGCATGGATTTCTAACAGAGCTTCTGTTTTGGTTTAGAGTACTCGGTAAGTACTTATGCTTTAGCATCCTTGCATGCGTGTGAGTGACTGCCATGATAGCATGCTTACCATGAGGCTATGTGCTTATGTGATATAACTGCCTGAATGCTAGTGGGTGAAGGTTGGGTTGCTTGAATTGGAATAATTCGTCGAAACCCGTGTTTTAGCCTACTTGCGAGTAGCAAACTTCAATCCATTTTCGAAACAAATGGATATGCGATGCTTTGTTCCAACTTAGGCAATCTAGTCTATATTTGTTTTGCTATGCGTATCACATAGTAATTCTAGACTAATAACCGGAATAAGAGCTCATATTGTTTTCAAAACTAGATATCATGGTTAGTAGAGGCCGATCTTTGATCGGGCGAGTGAGGGTGCTCACGAAGTGACCTTCCCCAATCGTACCCATGTTCCCGAGCCGAGGCAACTTTGGTGATGACGGATACGTGGCCTTGGGCAACGAGTCAGGGTTTCCTAAATTTTTCCAAAATAAATATTTAGGTGGTGACTCTGTATCTGGCAAAGCAGTCCATGTTTGGCACTTCTTTAAAAAAAAATCTGTTTTTAAAAACGATTTGCCGGATTTGGACTCTTTGATGATTCATCGATCTTGCATTGCACTCCGCGAGATTAGATATAGGACCGTGACACAAATTGAGTCCGAACTGTAGTGAGGCCCGAGGGCGCGTCTACACTTACTCTCTAACTTTGGGTTTGGTACAAAATGGCTTTCTTGGATGAAAGAATGTATTTCCTCAGCAAGGGCTTCTGTTCTAGTCAATGGATCTCCAACTGCAAAATTTTCTCCACAAAGAGGTCTGCGGCAAGGTGACCCCTT